TTATTATACAAATTAATATAAAAATAACTTAAAATTAAAGTAAATTTTTTAAAATTTTCAGTTGCGGTTCCCCTATCCTTATTTACTCTGTTATAATGGTTTCATTTAACACTGTTTCACTTAGCGCTTTGTTGTCTAGGAACGATCCCCCATGTTAAGCGGGGTCTTACTGTACTATATGTGTAATTATTACCTGTTTTTCAACAGCTGAATTGGGATTTTTTATGCTTTACTGTATTTAGATTTTACTCTCATCTATGATAGTTCGATTTTCTTAATAAAACTGCTTCTGCTTTATTACCTAACTCAAATGTATTCAGTTGATATAGAAATTGTATTTAACATTCAAGGATGTAGAGAGTATTAATGCATAAATTCATTAAGTTGTATATTATTTCAGGTCATAACATCAAATGAACCATTTACTTGAAAACCAATGAACAGTGATGTTGGATTTTAATCTAAATTAATTTTTAATAATTCTATTTAGTTCAATGAATTATATTATTGGATAACTATTAGATCATTTACTAAATGTTTATACATTCCTTGCTCATGAATTATATTTTAATTATAATAGACTCACAACAACCTTTAAATGACCAGTAAAATATTTAATTGAAAAAAGAAACGTTTTTGAATGTATTTTTCGGTCTTCTTCAGGTTTAATGTAAAGTGTACAGAAATGGTAAAATGAATTGTTAAATGTGATATAAGATTATTTTATTGCATCTATTTTGTACTTTTGATCATTTTACCGTCGTTATACTAATACAGCGTAGTGTAGAACAGCAATTTCCCTAAATATCGTATTGAGACCCTAAGTAGGATCACTAGTTATTATGAGATTGCATAAACACTTTTTCATTAACATTATTCCTTCGCTTAGAAAATCTTCAAAAGTGTTGTTTATTTTTTCTTTAGACTTCTTTTACATACAAAGAAAAAGTATATGCAACACTTGATTGAAGAATATTGACAATCAACAACAGTAACAACAAAAAAAGATTAATGGATTTGTATATATGAAAAAATTAGTCAAAAATCAATAATTGTAACAAAATGGAAATTGGAATCATTGTCACAAAAAGTGGACAAATGCCAAACACAGCAGACATGAGGACAGAACCCTTGAAAAGCAGACTGTCTGTGCAAAACATGGACAGTTCAGAATTCTGCAACTGGTTCAAATGGTCTCATAGATGTTCAGTACGCAACAAATCAGAAGAGTTAGGGAACCGATATAACACTTGAAAGTCATTATCACATTCATCACACTATTTTTGGACCACATGAACTGTGTGACAACAAACATTATCTTGTTAGAAAATGTCATTACCGTTTTCAAAGACAGTAACCATAAAACAGTAACATTATATCTGCTAGAATGTTAAGGGACTGATAGTATTCAGGAAACCTTCTAAATGAACTAAGAGCACCAATGTATGCCAGCTCATAATTTCCAAGTAGGATATGACTTTATTGTGAGATTGTTGCTACTACTGAAAATGTGTGCACATCCCTTACTTCTACATGGAAAATGTATACTGAAAACTAAATTATGTAAAGTTACATTATTCATTATGTAAAGATCATTATTACAGCACAACTGGCAACTATGTTGAATAATGAACAATATCAATATATTTTCTTTCAACTGGATAAAAATAGTCATTAAGAAAAACACACCTTTAAAAATTCAGCAAATAACTTAAAGTTATTTGCTGGATTTTTAAAGATGTGTTTTTCTTATTGATAATGAACAATATTGAATGCTGAGTAGAAAGTGTAGAATATTATTTTGTTGCCAAATTGAATCTATGGCAAAATAAGAATGCTGGAAAGTTAGAATACTGGGATGCATATTTCTTGAGAAATAAGTAATTGTTTTTGGTAAAACGATCTGAGAAACTTCTTGCTAAATGTAAAATATCAGCTTTTGACAATTTGTCTGTCAGTGTTAATTCCTATCCATATCATAATTGATCTTCCTCACCAGCTATGTGCTAGGATTTGGATGTCAGGATGGTCCTTTTTAGTTGCTGCATGCCTCACTCTCCAGTGCCTGTTAACTTGAAGCAATTTATTTGAAAACACAACTCTCTTCATTTCTTGATGGTCCAATCTCAGTTTGGTACTTGCTACCAAACTGAGGCATTGGAGTTGATTTTGTGTAGTTAATATGGCAGTCTTTACAGGCCGTTGGGTGCATATATCCATACATAGCAGCATCTGATCAAGAGTTAGCTCTGACCTGACTATGAATTATCAGCATTAAATTGCATTGTGAAAAGATGCAGCTGTAGAACATCTATTGCATTTAACAAGGCAGGCCAATCTCTGCTAACCTCAAACATTGATGACAAGGCTGTTGCTAAGTGGTTTTGGCATTATTTGAAGACCTTTCTCCATTGCTGCTCTGAAACAACCCACAAAGATAGCAGTTGAAGAGATGCTTGCAACTTTTTATCTAGCATCTGTAATCATTCTCTTTTATAACTCCTCCAGATCCTTTCCTTTGCCTTTGTTTCATGCAAAAACATGCAATACTTATTCAGCTATCTACTAATAACCAGTAGCTGTTAATCACATCACTGCTTTTCCCAGAAAGTGAAATTTACTTTATTTGCATAGATGGTCATACATAAAGGCTGGATTTGTGTGTTTAAAATTGTAATATTTGCATATACATATGCACATAAAAATGTGAAATATATGTATTACTAGGCTATATGCACATTAAAATGCCTGAAATATGCATTTTGCATGTTAAAAATGCCAGTAATATACATTAAAATTTGTAGGTTGAAATGAATACTACTACTATCTGAGCAATTCTTATTAATATCCATTATGTCACATATGTTCAAATAAAATTTTTAAACTTTCTATGCTATCTGCAATCATTATTGAATTTAATTCTATACATACAGTTGTTTACAAGATGTTTAAGGATAACCGAGTTAAATTTTACATTATTAAATTAATAAAAATAATATTTACAATAATTTTAATCTAATTAATTCAAAGAATTTTGAGAATTTAAAAAATGACAGGTTTACATGGTAATGCAAATGTGTTTGATTGTGGGGTAATTAAAAGAATGAAAGTTAAACTGTGCAAACATTTGAATTTTGCACTTCCATCAATAATTGGATGGCAGAGGGGTATTTTCACATGAATTATACATGTGCAAAAAAAATTCATTTCACAGATAGCAGAAACAGACTCACCAATCAAAATTTTGATTATCCCAGCAAATAATTTAATGTACAGTACATTCGAGTAATGTTTTTGATGTTATACAATATCTGCTTCAGGTTAACAATATTCTAAATTGGAATGCACGGTTCTGTGAATTCCAATTTAGAAATGTACAGTAAAATAAATTATTTACTGGGATTATCAAGGTTCTGATTGATATAGATACTTAAGTTATAAACAAGTACTTATTCAGTCCCTAAAATGGTCAAATCTGAAAAATACACAATAAAAATTATAAGCACATATTTTATATGAGTTTTTAAAATTGCATATGAAATATGCATTATTGGACAACCTTAATTTGATGCACTTTGACCTAAATCTTATTTATATCAAGGTTATAACAACATAGCATTTATGGGGAAAAACATACATTTGCATACAAACCCAGGGTTAGTCATCATAAGATGACATGAGAGAATATATTTCACTTCTCAAGAAAATCCAATAAGCTTGCAAGAGTTTTTAAACTAAAATTAATTATAGATTTAGTCTTACATTGTTTATTTGTAAACCACACTTCAACTCTAAGCTTTGAAAACTCACTCTATTTCTGTTGCTAATGACTAAATTGTTTTTACCAGTAAACTTCAGGTTACAAGAGGATAGCAAACTTGTATACCTGACTACAACTTGTATAGCAAAACTAGTCTAACAACTTTTCAATTGGTTGATTTCATTTTAATGAAATCAACCAATTGCCGATTTTAATGAAATTGGCCGGTTGATTTCATTTTAATGAAATCAACTGGCCAATTTCATGTTGAAAGAGTTAAATACTGGAATTGTTAATAATAATAACATTTAAACTACACCTTAATCCAATTGAGAACAAAAATTTAATGACAAACTAACATTTTCAATCTTATTCAAAAGCTGTCATCAGGTTCTAAAGATGGAACATAAATTTGAGTAGAATGCAAAATTCAAGTAATTGGATAAATACATATCATGAGAAGTCACATGTGTAAGTGTTAAAATATAAAATTATTAAACATAAATTGGGTTTGAAGGAAAGATAAATACAAAATATGATGATGATTAAATAAATAAATATCAATAAAATAAACAATAATAGAAATTTAAGAAAAATACACACAATAAATATACACTATATCTTTGTCACATGCATGGAGGGCTTATTTCAAGTCAATAAATGATAGGCATCATTGATTGTATTAAGTACTAACTACAAATTGTTTAATTTTGTAAGGATTGATTTAATTTTTGTATATTTTTCTTAATTTTCTATTAATGCTTATTTTATTGGTGTTTATTTATTTAATTATTATTATTTTGTATTTATCTTTCCTTCAAACCCAGTTTGTATTTAATAATTTTATAGTTTAACACCTGTGCATGTGACTTCTCATGACATATATCTCTCCAATTACTTTGAATTCTGTGTTGTATTTGAATTTGTTTTATCCTTAGACCCTGATTATAGCTTTTGAATAAGGTTGAAAATGTTAGTTTGTCATTAAATTTTTGTTCTCTACTGGATTAAAGTGTATTTTGGTGCTTTTAATATATACTTGATGTAGAATTATTCTTTGATTATATTTTTGAATTTATTTTTAGATTGTTGCTAATATAATAATTTATTGATATTTTTTGGATTTCCTTTATACTGAAAATATTAATTTCAGTTTTAATTGAACATTAATAGATTTTAAATATTCAAAATGTTATTTTAAGGAATAATACTTAGGTATTTAATTATTTTTTATTTTCAGACACTTGATTTTGACAGAGATGGTTTAACAAAAATGAAGAAAGCAGTAAAAGCCATATTTAATAGTGGCAATGGTATTATATTTTATTAATTTTACATTATTACGTATATTTTTGAATAATTACAAGTGATAAAAATAATTATTAATTACTTAGTTATTTAAAATAGGCATTATTATAAATATATTTTATTGTCACTTTCTCTGTCACTTTCCTGTTCACTGTCCTGTCACTTTCTCTGGAGGAGAGATAATGTTGGTATTTATCACTGGTGGTCTTTGTTTCCCAGACAAGGCCAATCCCATTGTCATGTGCTCAGGCTCAGTTCATTTTGGTGAGAAAAGGACTTGTATGTGAGAGCAAAGTCTTGTACTCCTCTATCATTAGCATAGAAAGGGGAAATCACTCAGGGATGGGGAACACCAGAGCAGACTCAGGAGACAACAGGAATTACCAGACAAATAAGACTTCATGTCTGTGGGAACACAGGTTTTTATTCAATTTTGTCCCCAAATTCTTATTTTCAATTGGTTTTAATCTATCACTTTTTCCATCCCAATTGGTACTTGACCTGTTTGGGGCACAATTCGGTTGCACAGGTCACACTTGACCATCCCCATTCACCCTGATATGGACCTACTCTTCGCAAAGTGTTGAGTTATATTTCTTTGAGTGATTGCCTGTAAATAAACGAAAATGATTTTTTTTTCCTCTCGGAGAGGATGCAGCTGCATCCATATGGTTCTCAGTCACATTCCCCTTTGAGGAGGGGTTCACTTTTTCGATTTTGACCTACTAAGTAACTGCAAATTTTCTATTAATGTCGCTCTCTCTCTCTCATGCAATCTATGACTGGGAATGTGACAATTTGAATGTGAATTTTACAGTATCCAATTTCTTTGCTTTCCCAACCTCATGCAAAGGATGTATCTCCTTTTATTAATGTTAGTTCAGTGGTATGTTTCTTGTTTTGTCAGGTGAGGTTTAGACCTCATAACTGATGCAAATGCAGGCATGTAAACAAAACCATTCTGTAGTGTTCTATTATCATGTATTATGTGTAAGGTGTGTTTCAAATTTATACGGACACGGTAAAATTAAAGTGAAACCCAAATTTGCTGCATTTAGTGACAAATGTTTTATTAAAAATAACATTGATTTACTTGTTTCCATACTGCAAAACAAGAATTTTAATCAAACATTAACATTTTGTCAGTGAAAATAATAATTTTGAAAATTTTGTACAAAAAAACTGTTACATATTTATCCGGACAGGCACTCATTTCATGACTTAAATAGAATATTGTTTAGTTTCAAGCATTGAAATATGCAAATCAGCTTACATATTTAATTGTAATACAAATTCTTTGTTGTTCAACGTTCTAAAATTGGTAGAACAAAGAATTTATCTGATTATGAAAAAGAGCAGATTGATGCCTATAAATCACAAGGCGAGTTAATAAGAGAAATTGCAGCGTATATAAATCATCCAAAATCAACTGTTGGTGATTATTTATCAAAAAAACGTGGTAGGATGTACCAAAATTCAAGACAGGTCCGAAACCCAAGCTTATACCTCGAGATTGAAGACAAATCATCAAGGTTTGCTCCACAAAACAAACATCAGTAAGAAAAATAAAACAAGAATTAGACTTACCTTGTAGCAGCACAACAGTGTGGAGAGTTTTAAATAAATCTCCAATGTTAAAATTCAGAAAAAAGCTATAATGCCACCACTTTCATTAAAGCACAAAAGTGACAAACTTGATTGGGTACAAAAACACATAACAGTCCAAAGAATGGATTGAAGTTTTGTTCAGTGATGAAAAACAATTCATCTTAGATAGTCCAGACAGTTGAAAATATTATTGGCACGATTTAAGAACCGAAAAACAAATATTTTCAAAATGCTAAATGGATGGAAGAGCAATAATAGTGTGGGGTGCATTTGGATTCAATGGAACCACAGATTTAGCATTTATAACTCAAAGAATGAATTCAGAGAAGTATTAAAGCATGCTTCAGGATCATTTATTTGATGCTGGACCAAATATTTGGGGACCAAATTGGATTTTTCAACAAGACAATGCTCCTGTGCATGCCTTTAAATCAACAAAAATGTGGTTTAAACGTAAAAATATTAATCTGATGACATGGCCTGCTAGAAGCCTGACCTGAATCCGATGGAAAATCTTTGGGGGATGATGGTTCGTACAGTTTATGCCAATGGAAAGCAGTTTTCCCACAATTCATGATTCGAAGGCAGCAATTTCAGATACTTGGGATAAACATAAGATTGAATTCCTTTAGAATCTAACTGAAACAATGCCGAATCGAGTATTTAATGTAATTAAGTTAAGTGGTGGTACATTGGCCAATAAATTGTAAGAAAACTTTGCAATTTGAAACCTGTCCGGATAAATATGTAACAGTTTTTTTGTACAAAATTTTCAAAAATATTATTTTCAGTGACAAAATGTTAATGTTTGATTATAATTCTTATTTTGCAGTGTGGAAACAAGTAAATCCATGTTATTTTTAATAAAACATTTGTCACTTAATGCAGCAAATTTAGGTTTCACTTTAATTTTTTCGTGTCCGTATAAATTTGAAACACACCTTAGTCGTACTATTGAGATACTATGTAAACAATTATTTTATTAGACACATTGACTTTGGTATGTATATCTTTACTGATATATCTGATTTACATTAAAGGTTTTACAAAGATAATTTATTGAAGATTTTTAATGATTACTTGGTGATCCATGTTACTTTTTGTATGTACCATAAACTACAGTAGAGCGTCGATTTTCCGAAAGTCAATCATCCGAAAGAATTACAGTCGGCAAATTTAAATTTTCGCCAGTGCTGTGGTGCTTCAATCTTTGGCTATGTCTTGGGTTACTCAAATATTTTACGTTTTTGATACTAAATTAACATCTAAAGTATAATTTTTTATTATTTTTATATTTTTAAATATATTTATTTTGTTTGTACAAAATAAGAAAATAATTTTTAACGATATAATAGTCTTTGTTAGGCTTAACATCGATGAAAATTCAACGTGATGCGACACGCAACGGATAAAAATTTCGACATCGGATACGTTAAACTATTTTTTCGTACGTAAATCAGTTATCTGGACAACCCCAGTCCCCAATTGATTCGGAAAATCGACGCTCTACTGTATGTATATTATCTGTTGAAAGATGTTACAGTTAGTGTCTTGATGCAAGTTGTATTATATTATATGTTTTGCCATAGGTTGTCATATACTGTATCCACATTTCAGTTCTAACGTACCATTAATCTATCACATGTTTGGGGATTGATTTATATGATGGGTATATGTCTAAATCAGAATTATGAGCTGAAAATCTTGAGGTAGATTTATATATTAGCATATATGGCACTCAAATCTGCAATGATATAAGTCTATATGTTTGAAGTTGCACAATTTTGCATGGATAACATATCATCCATTTTAATAGCATAAGCAGCCTTTTGTAGGAATAAGTGTGTAAATGTAAAGAAATGTACAAATCCACTGATATTTTGTGTTTTCTGTTTATCTGGATTATTTGATCTTACCATGGCTGTGTGAGTACAGTAGAGCATCGATTGTCTGACTCAATTGGAGACTCAGGTTGGTCGGATAACTGAAAAGAAGGAAAAAATACATTATTAGTATAGTATATTAGGATATTAGTATCCCATGTAATTAGTTTATTAGTATATCGCTATTAACCAACTTTGCGTTGAATTTTCATTGATGTTTAGCCTAACAAATTTTTTTCTAAAATAATAATCATTGCTATTGTATTGTTAAAAATTATTTTTAAATTATTTTATTGCTCACGAAACAAACAACCACTCATAATTAGAAAATTAAGTCTCATTTAAATATTGGCCTCCCTTCAATGGTCAAGCTGTTGATGCCAGCTAAAACATGCAAAAATTTAACAAAAATAATATTAAAGTAGCCAAGACATAGCTAAATATTGTAATGCCACATCACTAGCGGACATTTGAAATTTGCCAACTAGAACGGTCGGTTAACCGATGTGACGGTTAATCGGGGGTCGGATAATCGATGCTCTACTGTATTACAAATTAGAAAATATGTAATCTGTTGTACATTTCACTTAACAATCGCTTATGCAGGCTAGATGGCTGAGCAGCTAAGGTAACTGCCTACCACTGGGAAACTTGGAATTGAATCTGGATGGGTCAAAAAATCCAAGGAATTTTTTGGAGGATCTATCTGATAAACTCATAATGAGCTTGCTAAAAAATGACCCATTTAGTGCTTACAGTGTATAAGAGTTTAAAAAGGAAAATAAAATCCTCATGCATTGCACTCTTGTTAAGAAGTGATGTACTCAAGTGCCATTTTTTTTACAGCTTGTTCTAAGGCCCTGTTTGGTATTTTAGGATGAAAGAAAATATGAAATTTTATATTTTATCATTCTTTACAACTTTGTAATTGACATTAATGCTCTATTTTTATTAGTAATAGTAGTAGTTCCTTTTCTCTCTTACTCAAGAGAAAGGCAGTTATGATGGTATCATTATTTTGTGTGTGCTTGATTTAGAATACTTTGGCAAAAAGTCCATAGTAGTTGTACAATTATTTTTTTAAATAATTGGTTGGCAATGTATCACTATTATGTATTAGTGTGTGTGTTTATTTATATATATTATATATATGTATATAGTGTGCATGGTGAAATCCTAAGTCATTCAAATAACTTTTGAATATAAATAGTATTATAAGGGAAGTTAGGTATTGATATGGGAAAGTGATAATGCACTACCAGATGAAACTGATAGCAACACCCTAGCAGTAAAATTTTGGAAGTTAATATTCCTATCTTGAAAACTATGAGAGATACAGAAAAAGGTAAATGAGAAAATGCAGAGCATCACCAAATTAATGGAAATGACATTTTACAGAAATGGATGGTGCAAATAGAAGATTGGTCTGTACCCAATCTTCTATTTGCACCATTCATTGCTCACTTTTTAACTATGTTGGCACCTTTTGAGAAGAACTGTAGTATCAGTCTATCTTAGCTCATCTTGTATTTGCATTACTTGTTTCTGTGAAATGCTTTGGTGTAATTTCAAGACTATCTCAAATAATAATACATTATGTGCCATCTTTTTTACTAACATTTAGTCTCTTTTCGATTATGCTTTACTTGTCCGGGTTTCAGTGTCTCCCTATCTGTTAAACAAACTCAATTCTCAATTAGGTAAAATGTTTCTTTTACTCAACAAACTGGCTCAGTTACCATACACAGGTTCTCCTGAAGTTGCACAATCTTGCTTAGGCTTACCAGATTTATCTAAACATATCAATTACTTTGATCAAATTTTCAATTAATTTCTCCCATCTTGTTATATTAACCTACATATTACTTCAGTCAATAGAAGACAGTCTACCTGTATTTCTGTTCTTTTTTTGCCATCTTGCTGTTTTTGCCAAATCATTTTTCTTCTGTCACCATAAACTTACTAATATAATCGAAGATAGACTTTACATTGATTTCCATAAATTCACACTATTTTGTAAAAGAATTCTATATTTCTTTTGACTTGGTTATTGCAACAAAATCCTACAATTTTATTTGTTGTTTTCTCAGGTTTTGTTATTTTATGTTATTTGGGGGATGGCAAACTTTGTCTATAAGGGAATCATTTGTAGTATTTGTAAATAAACAAATAAAGTCATTCTCACCTAGAGCCATTATGAGGATTTAAAATGTCAAATCTAAAATTTTTTATTTCTGGAATGAAGAACCCTTAGAATTAACTTTTTAGAAATTGACAAATCTAGTGGCTATTTTATTGTAAAAAAGAAAAAAATACAATAAAATAAATAAGAATAAAATAGAAAGAAATTGCTTGAATGGTTTGGTTTTTGAGGGGCCGATTTTGTTCAACCACTTTTGAAGCATAATAACTCTGGTGTGTTTTGTTGAAAATTTCTGAAATTTTGCAGAGAGGTTTGTATATTAGGGAGATTGATGCTATTAAATTTTGGTAATTAAAGGTCAAGGGAATGGAAAGGTAGAGAGGGGTCACATGAAGATTTTACTCATTATTAACATTTATAATTTTTTTTTTATCAAGCTCATCTCTACTTTCAAAATTAAGCTTTTTACCATTTTATAATAATTAATAATAATAAAAAAATTTATAATAAAACAAGAGATAGTGTCACATACAATTTTAAATTTGTTGCCAAGAAAGTTATGCAACTCATTGCTGGCATTTTTAAAAAATTTTCAATATTTCACTTCATAAAAACTTACATTTTATTTATTTTTATTTACGATTTGTTATGCTTTTCACAATGTACAGTTTTAGTATATTTTACATGAGAAACACTTTAATATTGATTATCAAAATATCTAAATATTTTATTTTCTGTATATTAGAATACAGTCAAACCCCCCATAACACTGTTGATAATTCCGTTTTATATGAATTCCATGTTGTACGAGTCACTTAGATTTTACAAATATGTGAGCTGTTCACAGCCCAGCACAGCCCAGTAAAATCTAAGTGACTCATACAACATGGAATTCATATAAAATGGAATTATCAACAGTGTTATAGGGGGTCGACTGTATATTCTTTGTGGTATAACTTATACTGTAGAGAAAATAATCATTATATTTTAAAATAATGTATAAGTAACAATTATGAATATCAAATTTATTTTTATGTTTATAATATTTATATGCATTAATGGATTATTTTACAGCTCATGTTGATAATGAAGTCTACCTCTCTAAAGCTTTGGACCGTTTAGGGGCCAATGCTATGACAAAGGACCAGGAACCTGATATTGGTAAAAAAAATACTTTTTAATTAAAAATAAGCTTGAAATATTAAAGTTATATGTATATAAACTAAATAATAATGTTTAACTTATGTTCAGTTAAAAATATTATTTATATTTGCAGTTATTTGTTTACAAATATTATTTATGTTTACTAATAAGTTAATGAGTCCTTTACATTTTATTAAATTAAAAAACCTATGAAACAATATCTATTGAAAATAAGAATAAAGAACTTAAAAGGATATTAGATTTATTGGGTCATTCGGAAAGCAAGTTAGTTTTTTTTCCGTGGAAAAAAAAACAATATTTTTATAATAAATAAATATTTTATTGAATTATATATCAACCATTTTGGTCAAATACCTGTTGTCATTGTTTCTGATAGTAGCATGATTTCACATTCATAGAAGTTTTGATCGTTGCTTACAAAAAACTGATCCAAGTGATTTTTGACATTGTCATTTCAAGTAAATGTCTTACAGTTAAAAAAATTTGTATAGACCGGAACAAGTAATAATCTGAGTGTGCTTGATCTGGCGAGTATGGTTGGTGTGATAGCACATCCCATCTAAGTTATAACAGTTTCTGGCGAGTTACCAAACTTGTGTGAAATTTGACATTATCGTGGTAAAACACTACAACTGTTTTGTCCATCAATTCTGGCCATCTTTTCTGTTTGATGATATTACTCGATTTGTTTACTCGATGGCAGTACACTTTCGAATCAATTCTTAAATTGTCTGGTAAAAGCTCCAAAAAAAAAAATTCTTAAAATCCAACCAAAGAGAGCATCTCTCCTTAAGAACATGTGGAACCCATATATCGAGCTTTGAAACGAAACCAATTTGTTTCAAGTAATTATAAACAGTTCAATTTGACAAATTTAATCTCTTGGTGATTTCACGTGTTGTTATTCAGCAGTTTGCTTCAGTTAGTACCTTTATTTTGTTTTCATTGGTTTAAATTGGCCATCCAGAATGTGGTGCATTTTCGATATTGAAATTGCCAGAACGAAATTTTGTAAACCAGTTTTGGCACTATCGTTCTGTCAATACATCTCCACCATACATGTCACACAATTTTTTTCTTGCTTGAACAGCATCCTTAGCTTTTCGGTACTAAAAGAGCAAAATATGCCGAAAATGCTGCTTTCGATCTTTCATACTTGATGGGACACAAAATATGAAAAATTGCACAGAATCAAACAAAAGTTTTTACAAATAAGCCTTAAAATCTTAGCTGTCAAAATATATAATGATAATATAGTTTAGAATGAAAATGGCAGGAAAAATAAGACTAATCCGTCTAGTAGTAAAAAAAAACGAACTTACTTTCCGAACAACGTAATAGTTTCATATTACATCAAGAAAGAAACTTTGTGTATTTAGATTTTAGAATCAGATTACTTTATTATGTCTAAACATTTTTCCTTTGGCTATTAATTTTTTAATTGATTGGTGAAAGCTTTGAGGTTTATTTAATTATCTTTATTTTAATTCAAATATTTTTAGAAGATTGGTAATATGCTAGAAGTCATATATTTCCTGTGTTTCTTTTCAGTGGCTTCTCATAAAACTGGATAAAATAAATAAATAAATAAATATATATTTACTTATTTAAATACGGATTGTCTTTGCATGTTCTAAAGAGTAAAAGTTAACCTAAGGCTGTGTACACATTAGGCGTTTTGCGTTGCATTAAACGTGCATTAGCAGCATACACACCGCGCGTTAGCTCGGCATTCGACGACTGTTTGGTGGAGTGTGAGCACTGGCTCGGTTTGGAAATGGGCGTGAAAGTAATTGCTTGTATGTGCCTCCTCCATCGTCGCTATAGAAGACGATGGCAGAGGCAAAGAGAATTTTAGGTGAACCCAATATTATGAGATAGACTGACACATGGAATGTTTGTGACGTTGTACCCAAAACTAAGACAATATGAACCCAAATTTTTAAATTCTTTTAGAATATCTATAAAATCATTTGACGATGGCTGGTCTTTTTTAGATTTCATCAATAAATAGATCAGTATCGAAATGATCATTCTCCATTTCAGCCAATGTATGTCCACTCTACCTGAACATGTGCAATCGAATGTACAACAACATGGCAGCACATATATCTCAAAGCGCGCGGCTGACACCCGCGAAACGCGCATTCTAACAAAAATCTATCAACGCGCGTTTGAGTATGTATACGTATGCAGAACTCTTGGTTTTTTAAAATGCACGTTTAAAAATGCCTAATGTGTACACAGCCTAACCATTTGGTTATTTCGAAATTGTTTTTTAAGTTAAAAATAAATAATCATTGGCAAGTCTA